AAAGGTAACAGATAACGGCTGGTCATCCAACGCGATGAATTCAGCTATCTTGGCTGTTATTTTGTTGGCCTTTTCACTGTTCTGGGGTAGTTTCTCTTTCCTTTTAAAAGTCTCTGAAAGTGTCGGTTGTTTCAGTGCCGTTACCTGAGTGGCCGCTGTGTACTCGTCGTGTTGTTGTTGGTGGTGTTTGTATTAGATTGGTCGTGTTGAACGTAGCTCTGTTCTTTCCACCACGCGGAACCTCCGCCTTGCAAACATTGCATCTGGCTGTTACACTGCCTTCGCTTTCAATTTTATAATACTTCCAAACTCCTGACATTTTCTCTGTCCCGACTCCCGAGTCACCAGCTGAACGTAGCCTCTTGTTAGCTTACTGCTACTATTAGACACTGCGCCCACTCTGTTGCCAGATTTGAGAGAAATAAGCAACCAGGTCTATGAAAACAAGCCCAAAAGAAGCAACACATACATGATGTTGTGTAATTTTAACCCAAAACTAAGGCCTCAGGATGACTTTAAGACGTGAACATGGTCATTTTTGTTTTGTAACATTAAATAAAATGTATAAAAATATTTTATAAAAAAAAAAAAAAAAAAAAAAATCCGATCCCCGATTTTTTTCTCCCGATCACGTGAAAATCACGTGATCGGCTCCGATCCCCGATCACGTGATCGGATCGGGACATCCCTAATCGTTACACACAATTTATTTCTTACATAACATTTACATTGAATTTCTTGTCTATGGAGAAGAGGAAAACACCACAAGCATCCACACTCTGTGCCGGTCCAAAGCTAGTTTTATTTAATGTGGTGACCAAAGAGTAATTAATTGTTTTTTGCATTTATTATTTTCTAATCAACTTACCAAGAAAAAAATGCCAAATGTTCTCTGGATTCAGTTTCTCAAATGTGAGGATTTGCTTTTTATTTTATTCTATTTCAGTATCAGATGAATTATTCATGTTACAATTACGCTCAGAAATTCATAAGCAAAAGTAATGGCTTTGTTCATTTCAAAATAAAATGAAAAACAAATTAATTCTATACAATAATCAGAATATTAGAAACTCCTCTTAATTAAATGCGACCCAGTAAAGCTTTATCTCTTCCCTCGATGGTAATACAAATAATTGAATGAACAACTATGTGACATTTTCTTAAATAAAACAACTCAAACATCCTAACGGTAAACTTTCTGGACCAACAGCTGAATTACTACTTTCCACAGGTGAACCTTTTGAAGTTACCTAAACTTGAATTACCACGGGTTCATTTTATTATCCTTTTGTCAAAATTACATATAGTTGCAGCTTCAATTTCAAGCATTTGACTAAAACAAACAAGCTTCAATGGAGTACCTATGTGTGCCAAGAGAAGAAGGAAATATCCACTACAGAGATCTTTCAGGAAAGTGTTTGTCTCAGTTCGGGACCACATGAGCAGCGTAGGACAGAGACGGAGAGGATACCAGCCCACCGTTTTAATTCTCATTGCTCGGTAGTTTCTTGATAAATAGACGTGGCCCTCGTTCTGTGCCACCACTCATATTTACCCCACGCAGTCTGAAAGGGCCCTCGGACATGTCAAATGATGGGGCTGCTAACGGTCACTCGCAGAGAAAGAGGGGAGAGGACACGCTGAAAGGCTTTGTCTCCGCCTGTATAATCAATTGACCTGATTGATAAGGGTGTGTCAGGGTTACATTGTGTGTGTGTTATGTTTCCCACGCCCGGTGCTTTGGGTCCTTCTCTATGTGAGTGTGTGTGTGTGTGTGTGTGTGTGTGTGTGTGTGTGTTATCCGACCCTCCGTGCTCAACCTCTGTCCATCAACACCTTCCTCAGGAATGTTAATGAAAAACAAGGGAATCCCAAAGACTTTACCTCTCGCACTCTCCTTTTCTCCGGTATCATCTCTCCTATTCGTTGCTGTTTAAGTTAACCACCTCATTTTGCACACGTCTCTCCTGGTTACCCGCTGTCTCAAGCACATTTGCATGGTAGGCACTGTTGTTTAAAGTAGTGCCGAAAGTTTTGGAGGCAGCCCCAGAGGAAATTAAACGACAAATTTGATAATCGTGTAACTAATTTATTGTGCAAAAAAGGAAAGCATTTGTTAGTTTCGGGCCTCTCATGCCCCTTTCACACCAACGCAACTCCAGTTCAAGCTCCGTGCTAGAGCTTTTCTGGTTCAGAACCGGTTCTTCGGTTTAGCGCCGGCTCTTTTCACACCGCTCAGAGCCCGACTGGTGCTGCCGCTGCTGCGTCATGACGTCACAGTTTACGTCGCTGAGTTTCTCCCCAACGCCGGAGCTCACCTCACAACAACGGGCCGGGGACTGCGTTGCTTTTAATCATACGAAGCCAGATTAAATTAAATAACGACTTCTCCAACCTTATACTTTTCTCCAGAGTGCCGTGGTTCATTGTTTATTAATGTGTTTCAGCGGCATTTACCGACCGCTGCAGTGCTGGCCGGCTGCTCTTCAACGGGAGTGTATTCTCCCGTTAGCTCCGGGTTAGCTCACACGGCTCTAAAGTATTCACTGTCTGACTGTCACACAAGCAGCTGATACATATCCCCAGTTCCCCTTAAGTGAATGTGTGTCAGTCTGAATTGACGCTGTTTGGTGTCAGTCTGAATTGACGCTGTTTGGCATCACAACGCTGTTATGAAAGTTTCTCTGGTATAACATGGGTGATGTTAGCATAGCAACCGAAGCTAAACTGACTACTTGCTAAGCAGTTTTCTACTGGCACTTTTTACCGACGTATTTTTCATTATGATTCTACTTGTGATAGTCGGACATGACAACCTGTGCAGCCCATGTATTGATTCCATCCGATAGCTGCTATAATAACAAACAAAACGTCTGCCTGCTCTCCACAATGATCAATAACAGCGAACGGATGGTCAAAGTAAACAGAATCACACGAAGCCTGGTTAGTGTTGCCTGACTTTATAAAGTGTGTTTTTTTTAACAAGTGTGTGGTTGCGTTCTAGTCACTTTGCTCAGCACTACTGCTTGTTACAACTTTTATTTGCCGTACTCGCCTTAGTGTTAGCTCAGGTTAATCTCGCCCCCCTCCGACGTAAGCGTGACGTATGCGGTTCTTGCTTCTAGACGGACAACTTTTTGGTGCTCGAAACGAACCGGATTCCGGAGCTATGACGCTGCTCCGCTGCGGTGTGAACAGGAAAACCCGGTGCTTTTCAAGCACCAGCACCGAACCGGCCCTGAAACACCGTTGGTGTGAAAGGGGTATTAGAATGACTTGTTCTGCTCATAGCAATGCACAACTTCAGAAAATAGAAATAAAAGAAGCTAAATGACCAAAAAGCAAGAAATATTACAAATGAAATGTTCCTACGCCTTATTCAGGATATAGATAAAGCAAAAATACTTACATGACTTAAAAAGACAGCTTTTTCAAATAACTCATGAACATTCTTTTAATTATCCAAACAATTGAAATTCCCCACAATCAACTTATTGTATGTTTTTTTAATCCATGACAAAATCCTATATCCTCTTACCCCTAACACAGAATATATATCATACTATCAGGCAGCAGAAAGAAGATCTTTAAAGCTACTTAACTGAAAACAAAAAGGGGAAAGTTTAAAGTTATGCCCACTCGCACAGCACTCCCCGGAGCCTCGGCGTTACAGCAGGGTGTCCGCGGGGTCTTAAAAAGTATTAAAAGTTGATAAATCAATTTAGCGAAAATGAAGGCTATTAAAAAGTATTAAACGGCATTTTCCAAGGTGTTACATTTTGCAGCTTGTTTTCAATAAGTATATGAATTGTCCAAAGAGGTTGTATTCTACAGTCTGCCTGAATGTAATCATTGCGTAGGTGTGTAGTTTATTTATGGCACCCCGTTGGATTTGACGTCATCTGAACCGGACCTCGCACGCTCACTGCTTGATAGCGCGCGGAGCTCCGTTTACGCCGGTTGTTAAACAACATCGTTATGGGGAAATGCAAGTCTGCGTCCGAATGGTTGGAAGATAAGGAGGAAGGACAATCAATACTGTATATAGTCAATGTGAGGTAAAGTGTGTCGCCAATGTAACTGGTTAGAACTCAAAGTGGCGATGAGGTCTTAAAATGTATGGAAAGGGTCTTAAAAAAGGTCTTAAAAGGTATTGCATTTGAATTCAGGATTCCTGCATATACCCTGTGCAGAGAGGTGAAGCTGCTATCTCCTGATTTGGCTGCTAAAGTCTGTTAACTGCCACTCATACAAAAGAAAGCCTGGCTAAACTGTCACCAGCCTCCAGGCATTAACCCTGCGTGCAGACGACGGGGGAGGGGCTTTTTCCTGGAGTTGTCATGACACTGACGCACAAGCATGTCTCTCAGGATCACTGCATATTTTCACCACCTTTATTCCGTAGCGTGCATGTATAAGTGTGTGTGTGTGGCTATATTCCTGTGCAGAGAGGTGTCAGGGTGCGCATGTGAGGTGTAAATGCACTGGCACCCAGTCGCCACCTCAGGGGTGCGAGAGGAAGGGTGGCGGCGGCGCCCGTGTGATAGCGAGGGTGTAAATTGAGCTGTGATGGTCGAAGAAAGAGGAGATGATTGGATGAAACGATGAGACTTTGTGCGCGGCGAGAGGCACTTAGACACACTCAGCTCTAAACTGCAGCGTGCTGAATCCCCGTTTCCTCCATTCTCTATCACTCTCCCATCACTCTCTTTGTTTGCGGATCTCTTAGCTTTCATCTCAGACTGAGCCTTTGAAATGTAATGCTCTCTCCGTCTAACACACACACACACACACACACACATTATTCCTCCTTTGTGCTTATATCCTAATAACTCGTAGCTTTTAGTTATCTCTTGACGTCTGTTCTTCTGCACAACACTTGCAGATGTGGTCTCCATATTCAGTGTTTTCCGGGTTATAAAATAAGGGTCTGTTTCTCTGTATTCCTCGCCTCCCTGTACCGTGTCTTAAGTCTCATCTGGTTTCCTCTCTACCTTTAGAAACACAAGGAGCGGGACAGGCACAAACCTAAACACAAGAAGATCTCGATGGACATGTCCCCCTCCCTCGTCCTTCCTAATATCATGGTCCCAGAAAAGGTGAGGGGGCTCTTCCTTACTCCTTTGTGTTAAATATTAAACCAGGTTCATTTTTGTCTTCACCTTCATGGCCCTCTTTCCCTATCCCTCACTTACCCTGTCCTCCCACTCTTGGTCCTCCCTCTCTTCTATCCATATTATTCTTTCCTTGTTCCGGTGCTTCTCATGTTTCCTCTCCTCCCTTTTCTTTCAACCTTCATTTCTTCAGTGAACAAGAACATGCATAAAAATACATAAAAAAAGAGGTAATGGATTTTGCCAGATTTAGCTACTGGCTTATTTCCATCTGCAGTCCCTGGACATCACTATGTAACACTTGAGAATCTATTGGCCCTCCAACACATTGTACGTGATAGGCTAAGGGGCGGGACATCTCTTTGCGGTTCACGAATCACAACAGAGCCGGCTAAGCTAACCAATCAGAGCAGACTGGGCTCTGGTTTCAGACAGAGGGTGAAAAGAGGTGCTGCAGCACAGACAGTATGAACATTAAAGCATGGAGACATGTCCCAGTAGAGACACTACATACTGATATACACCTGAACATCAGCAGGAGAGGACTCTTTAAAGTAGAGACACTACATATTGATATACACCTGAACATCAGCAGGAGAGGACTCTTTAAAGTAGAGACACTACATACTGATATACACCTGAACATCAGCAGGAGAGGACTCTTTAAAGTAGAGACACTACATACTGATATACACCTGAACATCAGCAGGAGAGGACTCTTTAAAGTAGAGACACTACATACTGATATACACCTGAACATCAGCAGGAGAGGACTCTTTAAAGTAGAGACACTACATATTGATATACACCTGAACATCAGCAGGAGAGGACTCTTTAAAGTAGAGACACTACATATTGATATACACCTGAACATCAGCAGGAGAGGACTCTTTAAAGTAGAGACACTACATACTGATATACACCTGAACATCAGCAGGAGAGGACTCTTTAAAGTAGAGACACTACATACTGATATACACCTGAACATCAGCAGGAGAGGACTCTTTAAAGTAGAGACACTACATACTGATATACACCTGAACATCAGGAGGAGAGGACTCTTTAAAGTAGAGACACTACATACTGATATACACCTGAACATCAGCAGGAGAGGACTCTTTAAAGTAGAGACACTACATACTGATATACACCTGAACATCAGCAGGAGAGGACTCTTTAAAGTAGAGACACTACATACTGATATACACCTGAACATCAGCAGGAGAGGACTCTTTAAAGTAGAGACACTACATACTGATATACACCTGGACATCAGCAGGAGAGGACTCTTTAAAGTAGAGACACTACATACTGATATACACCTGAACATCAGCAGGAGAGGACTCTTTAAAGTAGAGACACTATATACTGATATACACCTGAACATCAGCAGGAGAGGACTCTTTAAAGTAGAGACACTACATACTGATATACACCTGGACATCAGCAGGAGAGGACTCTTTAAAGTAGAGACACTACATACTGATATACACCTGAACATCAGCAGGAGAGGACTCTTTAAAGTAGAGACACTACATACTGATATACACCTGAACATCAGCAGGAGAGGACTCTTTAAAGTAGAGACACTACATACTGATATACACCTGAACATCAGCAGGAGAGGACTCTTTAAAGTAGAGACACTATATACTGATATACACCTGAACATCAGCAGGAGAGGACTCTTTAAAGTAGAGACACTACATACTGATATACACCTGAACATCAGCAGGAGAGGACTCTTTAAAGTAGAGACACTACATACTGATATACACCTGGACATCAGCAGGAGAGGACTCTTTAAAGTAGAGACACTACATACTGATATACACCTGAACATCAGCAGGAGAGGACTCTTTAAAGTAGAGACACTACATACTGATATACACCTGAACATCAGCAGGAGAGGACTCTTTAAAATAGAGACACTACATACTGATATACACCTGAACATGAGAAATAGGGGACTCTTTGAAACACTATATAATCCCTGTCACACTGACAATTATAAATCAGATCGAAGCATAGATCAAGATTCAAGGCTTTTTTTGTCATTTCTACAGTGTAGTTATGATAATGAAAATCTTAGGTCACAGGCTCCTCCAACAGTGCAACACATTAAAACAGATAAAATAGTGCAAGTAGGGTCTGTTTCTCTGTATTCCTCTCCTCCCTGTACCATGTCTTAAGCAGCTTCACTCAATACCAAATGAATACCAGCACACTTGTCCGTCCAACTTAAATATAATGATGCATTTTGACTAAACATTTAAACTCCCTCCTCCAGACCTTTATCAGTGGCAGCTCAGTGGGCGGCGTCCCCTCTCTCCCGACGTCCTCTCAGAAGCGTCTGGATGACGGCAGCGCCCGCTTCACCACCGCTAACTTCCAGGAAGTGTCGTCGGCGCTGTCCGGCGGCTCCAAAGACGGCCTGGCCGCGGCGGACGCTGGGAAGGCGGCTTCGTCGGAGGCGAAGAACAAGAAGAACAGCGTCCCAGGTCACGTTGTGGCACAGCGGGGGGGCCGCAAGTCTCTCTCCTCCTCAGTGAAACCCCTCCCCTCCGCCGTGGTCACCATGGCAACATCCTCCACATCTGCCTCTGCCTCCACGGGGCCTTTCCACCAAGGTGAATTAATGGTGCCGTATGTTAATGTCCCCACAGCTGGGAAATAACACTGAGAAATGGGCGACAAATCCACCTTAAAATCTGCAAGTGCAGCACTATTGCAATTACAGAAATGTTATTAAATCCTAAATAAGAGAGTGATTTGTGTGTGTGTGTGTTTGTGTTTGTGTGTGTGTGTTTGTGTGTGTGTGCTGTGTCATTAGCTGGATTTTGGCCAGACAGCAGACTCTTGTGTGTGGCCTTGATAACAGTGTTTCTTCTCGACTGGCCTCTAGCTCCGGTAATCGGGGGGCCCGTCTGGGAAAAAGACGCAGAAACACACAGAAAAATAAAGAACATGTGAGGGGGGGGGGGGGGGGTTGCTGGACCTGAAGGGAGGCATAGCTCACACTGAGCTCCTGTGTTTTGTACTATCAGGACCTTGAAGCGCTTGTCAAGGTGTGTGTGTGTTTTGTTTGTGTGTGTCAAGAAGAGAGACGGTGTGTGTGTGTGTGCTCTCGAGGCACTTCCTCTGTGGGGAGGGGGAGATAGCGGGGCAGCAGATAAAATGCTTATTTTGGTTATCTTGTTTCTGCTTCTCTCATGATGATTGAAAGGAGAGTCGTATGAAAAGTTCCCCCCCCCAGCTGTGACGTCTGTTTCCTCTCTGTTTCCATCTCATGTGTCTTTATCTTTTCTTTCTGTCATTGTTTTTCTTTCATCCAGGCCTCCTGTTGACCAGTGCCAGTAAGACCCCCTCTGCCCCTTCCTCCTCAGACTTCTTGAGTTTCTCAGATCCATCGTTGCGTCCTGGGGGCGGGACCACCTTCTCCTCCCCTCCGTCCTTCAGCAGCTGCCTCGTGAAGCCCAGCTCGGAGGGCGGAGCTTCAGAGGGAACGGCGACACTTTTCGGCTCTTTGGTGTCCGCCACCTCCACGGCCTCTGCAGGTACCAGACGTTCAGAATCAGATCAGAAATCACTTATGTGTTACAGCAGAGGGACTGTGCAGATACAATGGCAAATAAGATGAGTGGACTAACAATTCAATAAGAAACACACATTGTATGAGTAGGAGCATTATCAGAGCTATTATAATATTTTTTTATGCACGCTTCTTAGTTAACATTAAAGGGGACCTATCATGCAAAATGCACTTTTTGATGTCTTTTCTACATAAAGATGTGTCCCCGGTGTGTCAGGGAACTCACGCAGCGCCAGAAAATAAAACCCTCTCTCTTTTCGTCCGTACCCAAATCTCTAAAAACGGGGCTACAACGGAGCTGATCCAGATTTGCGTCCGATATGACGTAATATCTGAAATGTGGACCCACGGCACTATCAGAAACGTTGCTATCAGAAACAATGCCCGACTGTTTTGGACGTAATATGGTCTGTGTTCACATTAGCATCGCTAACACTCAGAGCTAACCTGTACTGGAGAGCATGTGTGTGAAGAAGCAGGAAATAAAAAGGAACTCACCTTGTGGTATAACCGGCAAGAGAGAAAGCCTTTGAGCTCCATACTGTTTCAGAAACAATCCTTGATAATCCATGATATGGCGTTTCATCACGGCAGTATTTAGTTTAGACAGTAGCTGCCGGGTCCCGCATGAGCTCAGACCCCTCCTTTTTTATATTTTCTTTCAATTTTTATTTGTTAAAGCTTTATACCCAAATCAGCACTTTTGAAACAGGAAGTGAAATAGAGGGATATGAGGCATGGCTAGAATGTTTGATCTGTTTGGTATTTTGAGCAAAACACTTCATAGACATGTTTTTTATATATTTTTATATATCTGAGACCTATGCTATTGCCTAAAAATAGCATGATAGCTGACCTTTAAGCTGTCTTTAGCTCTTTTCTGCTGTAACAATGTAAATGTCCCCTCTGTGGGACTAATCAAAGTATTCTGATTCTGATAGTGTCCACACTAACCCCAAATAAAGCACCATGAGCTTTACACTTAAAGGTATTCACTTCTGCTTTTCTTATCGTTTCAGTGGGCGGGAAGCTGTATGAGAATTCCCACAGTCTCACATCCAGCGAGACGCCAAGCCTCGGTGGCTCCGCTGGCTACAAGAGACCCCCCCCCTCCAGCTCAGGAGGAGGGGGAGGAGGAGCAGGAGGAGGAGCAGGAGGAGGAGGAGGAGGGGGGGACGACGGGTTGAAGAAGAAGAAGAAGGGAAACTGGAGAAACAGATTTGGACCGTGCTTCACGACGGAAGTGAAGCCTTCAGAGACCGCTCCCTCCCTATCCCTCCCCACCTCCTCCACCACGGCCACCACCACCTCCTCCTCTTCCTCCGCCTCCCCGTCCTCCTCCTCTTCCTCAGCGCTCTCAGGACGCCCGGGCTTAGTCTCCAGCAGTGGGTTGGGAGTGGGAGGTGGAGGAGGAGGTGGAGAGAGGGGGCTGGGGGTCATGGGGGTCAGCACTGGGATTCAGAAGTCCCCGTCACTCCTCAGGAACGGAGGTCTGCAGAGCAACAGCAGCTCCTCGAGCACCGGAGCAGGTGAGGAGGAACCGTCAACACACACAACAACACAACAAAACCATGAGGAGAGTTAGTGAAAGAAAAACTCTCAGATCCATCTGTCAGGAAAATATCTTCCGTTTCCTGTATCTCAACAATAAATAACAACAAACTAAATTGTTGTTGCCAGCTAAAATGAAGGAAACCAATTAAGTCCTGTCCGAAAAAGAAGTTGTTTCCTATCAAGTTTACCTTCACACAAAACACAAAACAATGATGCGGAGAGTTTGTGAAAGAAATACGCACTCAGATCCATCTGTCTGTGTCAGGGAAATATATTCACAGTTTAGCTGCTGCTCAGTAAATAACAACAAAATTAATTGTTGTTTGCAGCTCAAATGAGGAAACCAATTAAGTCCTGAAAGATAAACAAGTTGTCCCATCATGTTCACCTTAGTGTCATCAGAATGGTTAAAAGGGAAGTGCCTCACATGTCGGCCTGTAATCAAAAACTGCTATTGTTGGACGCCATATCATCCAAAACATAATAGCAATAAACAATATTACCATCATTTAAAGGCTTTTAAGCCACAGACCTATTTATAGTGATAATATAATAGCATATTAATGCCAGTATCCCCTCTTAAAGAGCTGTGAACTTTTAATCCTTAAGAACATTCGGACCTTTCCACATCCAGAATTGGAATGTGAAAAATAATTAAATATCCTAAATACAAAAAAGGTCCAAATTAAATCACAACCAGAATAATGAATGAAATGTGTTCTCTGGCTCTTTTAACAAAAAGGCTCAATGTCTGCACAACACCCACGTCTTGGTGGTAGAAAAGCCCTGCTGTTCATTCTTGCATAATGTCGGCTAAAATGTTATTTTGTAAACAAACATACAGGGAAAACAACAGGCAAAATTGAAGTCGGCAAAATCCTCTGCATGTCCATATATTGTACGATAGGTTGAGAGGGTAATTATTGTGACAGGTCTACTCGTGTGTGGCCTTGGAGCAGTTTTTGTTCTGTGGAGCTCTCTCATCGTTCACCAACGCTGCAACAGAAACATGTTGTGCCAAATACCAACCCATACCCATCAGAAATAGGAAGGGTTGGACACACCTTTGTGCGTGTGTGTGTTTGTGTGCGTGTGTGTTTGTGTGCGTGTGTGTTTGCGCTCACACACGTGGAAGTGGTCTGTATGTTTCTTTCATCGTGTTCTGTTGCTTGGCAACTGTCTTTATGCTTTGGAGTTCCCCTCTGCTGATGGAAATGGCTCCGCAGCCCACACACACACACACACACACACACACACACATCTCCCTCTCCTCCAGAATCTCCTCCCTTTGTTTCTCCTGCCTCCCCCCGTCTCCCCTCCTACCTGCACTCTGCTCCTTCTGCACATCACCTGTTGATGCTGTGTGCAGCTCAAGGTGTGTGTGTGCGTGTGTGTTTGCATCAATGCATGTGTATAATAAGCACATGCTCACAATGCAGAAATAAAGGTAGTAGAATCCATCACCACTTCATAGGATCAGCTGATCTGATTCCGATCACAGATTTGTTTTTGTTGTTCAACATCTGTACATAAGGCTCTTTCGTCAGACTTCATGTTTGTCTGTTACTGAGTTAGTTGTTTTATTTTATTTTTGCTGATTACTACATTTTTCGATATGAATACACAGTTTTTTTTTTATTATACTACATTCTTCCAAGTCATTATTGTTAAATTAGGTTTCTCCTTAAACTTCAAAACATATAACATATTTTATACAAACAACTCAGTGCCACAATTCATATATTTAAAAATACACACATCTGTAGTAGCTGTTCTTCCATTCATAAAGTATGGAAACCATGTGGTTGCTAAGAAGAAGTGCAACAATACGTTTACTGTGAAGTACAAACTGGTGTTGTAGTATTTGTCTGATATGGGGATATGTAATTATGTTTTAGTAGCATCATATGTTTAAGCTAGCCATTTCATAAATGTAATATAACTCAAATGTGTGAGGTGAATTGACAGGCATTCTAACATTTTCTCTGATTGGAAAGAAACATGTTGCGTGAAATGGTTTACCTTTGTCTGTCTCACACATTGACACGATTTAATGATTGCAAACTCTCAAATGTATTGATCCTAATACTATAAGCACAAGTTTTCTGTCTAAGTATTGATATGCAGGGAAACTTTTAAAGATGTGTGTGTGTGTGTTGCGGATATTTTACATTTGCCATTAGCTTGACGACTGGTGCACATTTTGCTGGAGCTTCTCAGTTTTTGGTACAGCGGTGGCTTCATTCTGACCACAGCTGCTGACGTGTGTGTGTGTGTGTGTGTGTGTGTGTGTGTGTGTGTGTGTGTGTGTGTGTGTTGTGTGTGTGTGGTGTGTGTGTGTGTGTGTGTGTGTGTGTGTGTGTGTGTGTGTGTGTGTGTGTGTGTGTGTGTGGTGTGTGTGTGTGTGTGTGGTGTGTGTGTGTGTGTGTGTGTGTGTGTGTGTGTGTGTGTGTGTGTGTGTGTGTGTGTGTGTGTGTGTGTGTGTGTGTGTGTGTGTGTGTGTGTGTGAAATGCTTCTTCCTACTGTAAATATTTAGCTCAGGGTTAATGCAGGGCAGTAATAGGGAGGATCTTGGCGCCCCCCCTCCTTCCTGTGTGGCTGATGGATAGATAGTTAGCCTGATAGATATGTGTTGGCGGGGGGGGGGGGGCAGGAGGTTAGATTTTGGTTAGGTTAATGTTTGACGGCAGGGGGGGTCACTGATGGGACGAACGTGTTTGGTGTGTGGGGGAGGAGAGAATTATTCAGACCAGAGAGTGTGTGTGTGGAAACAATAAGAAAAGACACACAAAAAACGAGGCAGTTGTTTTTATTTGGTTTATTTATTTTAAGGACAGATGTTTGTTTGTTTTACTCATTTCAGTTAAATTAGAATTACCTGCGGTTTGGTGTCACTGCTAAACGCACGTGAGAGGAAGTTGTGAAAACCAGGAAATATTGCATAAACAGGATTTCATTTAAATACAAAATGAAGCCTGTTGATAAAATATGAAACCTGTACAAATCTGCATTAGAATAAGTGAGATACACTGAGGCATCTTTTGTTGGCGTGTTTCAATGTATACAGTCTGCAAGAAATAGTTTGCATTTTGAACAAAGTACAAAAAACGAAGTCATCAAATTAAATGTGATTTAAAAGAAAAAGATAAGTTATTTACAAATTGATTTAAAAAACATTTTACTTCACAATTTCAAATGTTCTTTAAAGTTGTTGTTATGTTTACAATAAATAAAAAAAGGCAGTTTATTTTTAATCAAAGTATATTTACTTCGGGAATAAGTATATTTATTTTGAGCACTGTGGTGGATGGAGCTTTAAAATATGTTTGGAGAATAACAAAGACTTTTAAACACCAGACAAGAAGAAAAACAACACACACACACACACACACACACACACACACACACACACACGCATTATGCAGAAAACCTCTAACAACCCATCTAACAATTGGAGACAAACAACTTAAAGTGACAGCTCTTTTATGTGCAACGTGTGTCTCCTCCATAAACTCCGCTGAATAAATAAATGATATAAATATTTTCTGTAGTTTGAATTACGCCTCAATTTGACACAACAACACTTAAATATAGCAGAGACTGTCCGCTGAATCTGCTGTTAATTCTGCAACTAATATGGCTTTACCAGGCTGTGGCAATCCCACATACAGTTTGTAATACATGCATGCAGACACACACACACACACACACACACTGGGTGTTGCTCTGCTCCCTCTACACGTTGCTGCGATGTTTGAATACATTTCTGTTTATCTTTGGTGGTAGAAAATTCTCAGAATAATAAATCTCTCTGTTGCCGGGATGGTATTCAGTGTTTGTCTCCACATTCCATTTTTAAACATGATTAAATGACTGTCTGCCGTTTTTACAACTGAAAAAATCCACATGGCCCCCCAGCTTCAGCATCACATGGCGGGACATTTCCCTCCAACACACAACGTGGAGCGAGTTCAAGTGAAAACACTGATTCAGCTCTTTAATAACAGAGTATGACGCCATGCACTTGGTTTTTAGATTGAGCTTAACCCTCCCTAAATACACGACATAGATTTCCTATGGAGATAAAGCCGGCTTGAACTAATCAAGGTGGATATTCCTTAAGCTCACAGACGTAGTAAGCAGGAAGGGAGAAGGAACAGGAAGGTCGATGGAGGCGGCTGCGCTTCAGGGGCTTAACGTTATCGATCTCACACACGGGTGGAAGTTTTACAAGCTCAGGCGTGTGTGTCAGAGGTGTGTGTGAGAGGTGTGTGTGTGTGGGGGTACGGTTTTTATTATAGGGGAAGTTGTAATTCCCATCAAAAGCAGTTATTAAAGGAATATCAGTTTGTAAAGATAACACTCTTTGCAATATTTCTAAATGTTCTCACCAGCGTCCAAGACGGTACACTTTCCTCTGCAACTATAATTAAATCTACTATTAAATGTAATTTGTTTGTAGTTATTTTTTATTTAATGCAAGGGTTAAAGGGGTTTTAGCTGGAGCTGCTTTTCACTTTAATCCCAAAAACTCACCCGTGTGTTGGAGCACGACGTTCTTCTCTTTAACGAGACGATATTTAATTGAATTAATAACTTGTAAATATTGTCTGAAATTCTTATTATATCTAACACGCACATTTATTTATGAAACTGGTGTTACATTTGATCTTAAATTATAATTGACTTCTTGCCAAATAAAAAATGTGTTTGTCTAATTCAGGAAAATAGATTCTAAATATTAAATGTAATTCAAACATGTTTAATTGAGCAATAAAACCAGCATACATGGACAGTGATTGCACAAACTGCTTCCACCTTTTGGAGGTTTTAAACTTCCTCATAATCGTACATATGAATTCAGATTATCTATATTTCCTCGTGTTGTTATCTCAGTGTTTGCAGCAGTCCTATGTCTCATCAGATCTTCCTGATGTTGCTGCAGCAGCTCGAGCCCCCTGAGTCATGGCCGCCCTGCTTTGGGTATCAATTTTTCTGGTGCATATTACAAAGTGTTATAAATAGTATGTAGGGCCCTCGCAGTGTTCCTATATCTCTCCCTCTCTCTCTCTCTCTCGCTCTCTGCTGCTCTCCCTCTCTCCCCCCTCCTGGCACAAAGATCTCTTGTTCCCCCGGTGAATGTGTGCTGCCCTGAGCCATTCAGGCCTTTGTGGGGCTGAGGGGCCCTGTCCCCCCCCCCACACACACACACACACACACACACACACACCCTCCTCTGCTGGGGTCAAAGGGGGGCAGGGGCAGGGCTTATCCCTGGTTAGTGGGCGAGCACAGGGGTGTGTGAGGGGGAGGGAGGGAGAGAGATAAGAGAATGGAGCATGCGTATGGGAGTGTGAAACTGGAGCAATATGTTTCTGTTAGTGATTTATAACTTGGGTTTATTTTTTTTTATATAATGATCATTTATTATAAGCTGAATAAAATGTGTTATTGGAATTTGTTCAAAGAAAACATACAGAGATGAGAATTAGCAGATTTATTTAACTCCTTTTTCCGGAGTTTGTGAAATCTTAATGATTTGTGTTGTCAGCTGTGTGTTTGAGTTTATTATAATTAATGCCGATTTATAAAATCATAAAGAAACCAAACTATCTGACCACATACTCCAGAATCCCTTTGTATCAAATCATGCATTAAATTGGCTGTACATTTTAGATCAGTAACTTCTTTTACACTACATTGTAATCAACAAATGTACCTCTCTCAAGCCACCATGCACAAAACAAGGACTGATCTAAAAGGCCTAAGAGAGCTCATGTATCGCTCATTCTAATATGTACACTCGTGCTTTTCATACTGTAACTCACTGTCAAGCCTCTACGAACTTTTTTTATTCGTGTTATTTAATGTTTTTCGTGTCCCCACAGGTGTTTTCTCCGGTGCTGAAGGGTCGACCTCGGGGTCTGGAGCTGCCTCTGTCGGCGGCTCTGAGTTGTCTGAGCAGCAGCAGCAGCAGCAGCAGCAGCAGCCCACACCTTCACTGTCCTCTCCGTCTCCGTTCACTGCCACCGCACCGCTCACCAGCACCGCCAACACACACGTGAGTCCAGACACACACACACACACACACACACACACACACACACACTGCAAAAAACTCTCAATGACACCCTCACACTCTTACATACATGAAAGTACAGAAAAAGTCTACCTGTCATTCTTTTATTCTTTTATAACTATTACTATTTTTGTATTGCTCTTGCTCTTATTGTTATTATGTTATGTTATTATGTTGCATTGTTGGAGAAGCCTGTGACATAAGATTTTCAACTGCATAATTACTCTGTAGCTATGTCAGATTGACAATAAAGAACCTTGAACCTTTTATTCCTTGGGCTCCCAGCAAATCATTAAAAAGTCTTACATTTAGTTTCAATGTTCCTTTCTAAAATGTTCTTCAAATATCTGAGATTGTAGGACGGGTGGCATCAAATATGGATAAGGAACGGATGATCGTGTCTAGTTTTTCGGTTTAATTTTGCCGAAATGTACCCATAACAATGACATTTCCACTACGTCCAATACCGATTTCTTCATACGTTAAATAGGGAACGTACACTCAGCTTAGTAGGAGGTGGAAGAACAACGTGTGTCTGTAATCTACATTTTTACATATAAGGAAACGTTCAACTAGCTTCCGATTTGTGAGCCGAGGCAAGGATAAATTACACTGAATATTCCCGTTATTCAAATTAACACAACTAAATAACAGAGTTTGCTGCAGGCTAGTGTGTCAAATGTATTTTGCCCAGTAATGGAATTTCTTG